CATCGGTATAAAGCAGTGATATTCTAAACTAACAGTAACATGGCGCTTAAAACATGACGCAATACACAAATCTAATTACGGTAGGTAAATGATTCATTTTGAAATTTCCACAGTCATTAAACATGCACCATCTACATCTGTGTATAAAAACACCATTAAGGTCCCGCCCAGGTTTTTTTCATGATACACATTTTAACATCAATTCAGAATGGATTTTTGAAACATGTTTGACTGTGATTCTTTACTGTATTTGCATCAACAATCAATGTTCTGTAAAGATGTAGTTTTTTTCAAGTTTGGCTCATCTAGGGTGAAAGGTCGGTATGTTAAAGACCGATATGGGAAAGATGGCAAGGATAGACGTTTTAATACACTTTAATTAGTCACATGGTTGCCAGTGTCAAAGGTCAAAAAATATATATCATACAACTAAGAAGTGCACAGACAACGTATCTAAGGAGAATATCAGGATTGAAACAATACTCGAAAAAGTAAGACCAAAAATAAACACACACACACACACACACACACACACACACACACACATAATTTAGGAAATATTGTCAAAGAAGATACTGATGAAAACTAGTCTTACATTCAAAAGAGCTACAAATGATGCCCACTCATAAGAAAGCAACCTACATACATGAAGATCAAATTACAGAGAGCGACTGTCGCAGGTCCCAAAGTGAATAGATGCTTTTGTGATGAGAAGGAGTTTACCTCTCAACACTTCACCTCCACCAGAGAAACTAGACTATTATCCGAACTATGTTGATCTCAGATAAAGTCCTGGATATCCAAGAAAACAGCTATATTTGGCCTGTCTGCACTTTGTACCCACAGGAGTAGGAGAAGGAATAGATAGATATCAAGATGAACGCAATGAGATATCAGTTAACCTCTCCGACTTTCTCCTTTCCTGGTATAGAATTATTATTGAGCTCCCACCAAATGTAATTTTATCTAACAGTTTAGTTAAACGGGTAAGACTAAATACACTTGGAATTTAACAAACGATATAGTATAAAACCTGACATACAGCTTTATTTACTAACAATCAATTAAATGAAAATCGCCAGTTTGTTGTTTACACAAACAGTGACTGGCTAATGGTATGATAGTTATAAAATGCTTCCGCTAGAAAACTGAGCACTTGGTGTGATGATGGGGATGTTTACGAACAATGTGAGGACATAACTTTCATATAGAACCTCTGACAGCTGTGAGGCACTGTCAAGCTTTTCCACCTCTTCCAGCTTCTTCTCCGCCTGTTCTCCACCTCTTCCCAGCTTGCCGATCTCCCACAACGTAGGTTCGTGCATGTGACATCTAGTTATATTAGAGCAGACGTCTTTACCCTAACGGGAGCTGGAAACGTTCCAGCAATTTACATACCAGACCCAACTAGCTATAAATGCTTTCTACTGTAGGTCTGAAATTATGGCTAGCTGGCATCACTGTGAGGTAAATTTAAAATGCTCTGGTAACTGGTAACTGGTGTGGGTAAAAAAAACGAAAAACTTCTTGCCTCTTTCAACCGGCTCCTATACTGAGCGTTGGTTATATCAAGGCGGCGTTTTGTTGTCTGGAGTTTGTTCTCTAGTTATTACGTTTCTGTTGTGGCGATTTACATTTCTGCCTGAGGTTTTGTTGCTTCTGTCAGCGTGAGGTAAAAGGTGGGCGTGGCTTTTGGTGGCGGGCTTCGTGTCGTCTGGTTGTGGGCTGTGAGGTTTCTCCGAGCTGGTGGGCGGGGTTGTTCAGCTGTCATGGTGGCTTGGGCGGTTTTACATTGGTCGGTTTTGTCTGGCTTTTTAGTTTCGGCGGCTTTTCGGTGTTTTCTGCGTCGGTTGTTTCCGTTTTGTTTCCAGAATCCGCTCATAGGCCTTGTACACCTGCCCCCAGTACCTATTCAATTTTCCATAGAAGGCCCTTCTTTTCTGGTCAGGTGCTTCTGCATCTTTTGCCAACGTCTGAATGTCATGGTCGATACAGTAATGGCCCCTACAGATTATGATACTGTGCGGGGCAACTTGCTCGTTGATGATTTCAACCAACTTTTCAAGGCCAGCCTCGCTTATGTCCTGGGGGATGACAATTTCTTCTGCTTCTGGCGAGGTGCATGTTGTTTCAAGTTCTGCCTCCGCGAGTTCCGAGTTGTTGGTTTCTGTGCCTGGGTCTCTGCCTTCTGCTTTTGCTTCGGTGATTGTGCCTTTATCCGCCTTCTGCGTTGAATTGTCTGTGTGGGTGCTTTTGTCAGCCCTGCTGACACTTAGGTTCTTTGTTGTTATGCTGACTGCCGTTCTTTCTTTCTGTAACCGGTCGCGCTCTGTTCTGGTAGCTATCTCCGCCGCGACTGCCTCTGTTTTAGCCTGTACAAGTCGGGTGACCTCTCTGTATGCTTCTTCTCTCGCCTCTTTCAGCGCTGCCATCTCTCTGCTTCTCTCCTCTCTCTCCTCCTGTCTACATCTTTCGTCTGCTGCCTGGGCCGCTGTCAAACTTGCGATTAAATTGCTGATGCTTTCTTTGGTTGCTGTGGCTTCTTTCTGGTATTCGCTTAGCTGTGCAGTGAACGCTATCCTGTCGTCTTTCAGGTTTTTAATTTCTCCTAGCAACAGGGAGATAATTTCGTGCGTTTCTGCCTTTTCAGCAGCAGCGATGGTTTTCTGTTTTTGGAGCTCGGCCTTTAGTTCCGTGATTATGTTCGCAAGTGCAGGGTCTCTGGTGGTAGCATCCTTCTCTGGCGTCCTACTTTTGGTTGGGCGGGCGGGTCGGCATTTTGTGCTGCTTGGTCTGGATTCCACGTACCTCTGCTGGTGGCTCAATCGGTCAGTTGCTAGCGCCAACTTGATCTCTTTGAGGTACGGGCAGCCCATATACCTCGCGCTGTGGGCCCCTGTACAGTTTGAACACCGTCTTCTTGGGTTTGGTCTCTTGAAGTCCGGGTCCTCCTTCGCCAGAGGGCATTCTTTAAAGTCATGTGCCTGTGAGCAATACCTGCATGCTGGGTTGCTGCGGCAAGTCGCGGCGGTATGCCACGCCTTGTTGCAGCGTGAGCAGAATCTCAGTACAGTGGGTACCCGGTCGCTGTTGCTGCCTGTGTGGGCGGGTGTTGGTGGCTCCCAGCTCCACGACTGGAGCGGCTTCTAAGTAGGCTGGTGCCTCGATAGGGCCTACATCCAGGGCTGGCGGTGTCTGGGCTGGTGTCTCCTCCGGGTCGTCGACCGGTTCTGGCATCATCAGGTCTGGTGCGGCGACAGGTGCTTCCTCTTTGTTGGCTGAGGTCGCCCTGGTGTCCCGGCGCTGGACCGGATTCTTCTTACCACGGGCCATGGTTTCGTGTGGCTGAGGCT